GTAACACGTCCTAAGCTGCGCCGTGTAATGTCTGGCGGTATACGTAATAATTGCATTGTGGCAAGACAGACGATACTGTATTCCTACTTGTGCATTCGTTTTTCCCCTTTAAGTTAGCAGCGGTGGCTGTACGGCATATGCATTGAGTTAATGATGATTTCTCAAGACCGTTGCGAACTTGATGTAATGAATTATGAATGCTGGTATTGAATCCGCAGTGAAGGAAAGTTTAATAATGCAAGCATCTCTTCCACGCATCACCTTCACGTTATGTCACTGCGTCTGTACCTCGCCGAAGAACTTGAATTTCAATCATTCGCGCGTGTGCCAGGTGTTTCTAATGTGTGCAGAGAAGCACATACTTAGAGAAGCTGATAAGGGAATGTCTTCTGTGTACTGAATTTTTCTGCAGTTTGTGACATCGCCTATCTATAGGCTTCCTCAGTCGAATTTATAAGTACTTCCCCCCCACAAAGCTATAGGTATAGTATCGTGTTACCCGGCCGTATCTAGGCGTGAAGGAAGGGAAGTGTAATTAGGGGTGATCAAAAAGCAGCGGCTAGAAATTTTGCCGCGGGAAGAAGAGCGCGGAAGAAAATATCTCGAACATCTCGATACAAAAGTAAAGCGGTGCTCTTTAATTGATTCCAACCTCGGGCAACAGTCACACCAGTAAAAATACGCCCACATTTGTAGTAGCTGAGCGTTTTTGTACACGATGTCTGCATTTTTTCGCGTTAACGGCTTCTGTTATGCGTTCGCTGAGCGGCTTTTATTTCGTTCTCGTTATCGTGCGCGAAGTCGCCATGTTGACGCCATATCCAATATCGCTCATGGCATCGGCTACCGCTTCTGCAGCGGTTCTCGACGCGCTGCTGAAAATGCATGTATTGCTGTTGCTTTTTTTATCGCAAACGAATCGCGCGCGTGTGTGTATTTGTGTGTGTGTGTGTGTGTGTGTGTGTGTGTGTGTGTGTGTGTGTGTGTGTGTGTGTGTGTGTGTGTGTGTGTGTGTGTGTGTGTGTGTGTGTGTGTGTGTGTGT